TTATTTCTTTCCCTGACTTAATTTTTGTGTTGTAGCTGACTTGAATGTTAGCTAGGTTGATGTGCTCTATCTGACCCTGGTCCAGGGATATAATTTAGCAATAACAAGTTCACTGGTTCAATGCCAGACCAGTTGTTAATGTATTCTATACAAAACCCCTTGATTATAATGTCTATAAACAGTCAGAGTTTGGGGGGGGTAATGGTTATTAGGCTAATCATAGATTTTGGGGAATTGGTAAAGGTGGCACTAAGAAAGGGGGTAGGTGGGTGGGTTAAGAGGTATGGGAGCTACTGGGTTTTGTGGCCTTTATGTGTGTTTGGGTGTATTCCTGTTATTATAATGGAGGGTGTTTGTGACAGGGATTGCAAGGGGCTGGTGTTGTGTGCAGTTGGTACAGTAAGCTAGTCAGCAGGTGGTGAGTGTATAGGAGGGAGGTGTAGTGTGGTGACAGGTTGGGGGAGGCTGAGAGGGGGAGGTGAAGATAGGAAAGAGTGGTTGAAAAGGGGCAGATAGACTAGTTGGGAGGGAGGACAATGGATTGTACAGGAAAAAGAGGGTGAGTGAAGAGGGTGAAAATAGGGATAAGAGAATAGTGATGATGGAGTTAATAATGCAGGAATAAAAAAAGAAAAAGGAAGAAAGAGGAAAAAAAAAACAGGAATACCATAAAAAACACCAGGTTCAGGAACCACAGAAAGTTCAATCTATTAATAAAAGTTCTGGGGTTATTCCTTAGGTGACCAATCCTAGTATTGGTGTTCAAGTGGAAGCGCTGATGTGTTCTTACCAGGTGACTGGAGTGGTATTTGGACCTTCTGTCCACAAGATTAGTTGGAGTTGTGAGGTGAAGTAAGATTGCCACCTCATGCAGGGTGGTCAGAGCTGTTGTTTTCGGCAGGTGGCAACTGTGTTGGTTTTCATCTGCGGCTTTCTTTGGTCGGCTCCTCCCCCAGCATGGTGGTGCAATTCAGTTTTGAATGCTGCCCTCTGTCCCAGAGATCAGCTTTGGGATCCACCTCCTACCTTGTTTTGGGAGGTTAGTTTGTCGCTTCACTCCCTCTCAGCTTTTATGCCTCTCCCGATCTCTGCTGGGTGCTGGGCATCTCCTCTAGGTGGTTGGCTTGTTAGCCTGTCCCTGCTCTCAGTCTTTGCTGCTTTATGGTGCATTACTGAGAGTTCAGCTCTGAGAGCTTGGTTCCTTGCCCCACCTATCTCCTGATGGCTCAGCAGTGAGAGATTGGCTCTTTTCCCTGCCCCTGTTCTCCAGGGCAGGTTCAACGTTCCACCCCCACCTCTGATGTTGGTGTTAGATTACAGTTCCCTGTTTATGGTTTTCAGTTTTGCTGATGAGGGGGAGTTCAGTCTGCCCAGGGGCAGCGCTGCATTATTTTTCCAGGGTGGGGTGGAGTGGGGAGGTGGATATTGGAGCGGTGCATGGTACATGATACTCTCCTGTTTCTTCTGCAGTTTCACACAGCCAGCTTTGGAGCCAGCTGGCATGGAGAAATGGCGTTTTTGTTTCAGTGCAGCGCAGCATAGGGAAACTTTCCTTGGGCTAGGGGTCCAGGATGTCATACATTTTGATTCTGATTGATGTTCTGTCTTCTGCTTCTTGGGAGAAGAAAGAAAAGGGAAAAAAAAAAGAAAATAAGCAGCCAGGGACTTTATTCCCAGGGCCAGAGGTAGGACACACCTTGATGGGTGTGCCAGGTTGGATTTTCCTGACTATTAGGTGCAATTAAAGGCTGAGTTAAGGGTCAGTCTTTGAATTTTATCTGTACCTAATGTGATGGCAGTTATTATTTTGGCTAGGAGCAATCAGAATTACCCAAATGTGGCTCCAACATCTCAAGGAGGTTTCTGGAGTCACAGAGATCTGATTCCCTACCTTAGCTGCCATTTTGAATCTTCCATCTGGAAAACTATTTTAAAGATAGTACGGTTCATACTTCTTAAAACTTACATTTCATCTTAAAACTTGTGTTTCTCACTCATGTTGACTATAAGTAGGAATTTAAAGCACCTTAAATGCCAAAATGATTAAATATTCAATTCAAATCAATGCTAAAAAAGTAAAGCCTATGAAGACTTAAAAATTTAGTTAAGATCCAAGCCTCCCAGAGGAAAAGTACTGAAGTATTATGTCTACAGCATACTTTTACATTGTTGTTCCCCAACCCCCAAGAACAAGTGTAGCCAGTAAGAATTTTTGAATTTAGGTGGTGGTTGTACTATGGATAATTATTGTGTTTCTCTTTCAACTTTGGGATATGTGAAATATTTGGTGGGGTTTTTGTTTTGTTTTGTTTTTTGGTGGCACTGGGGTTTGAATTCAGGGCCTCATGCTTGCTAGGTAGGTGTGCTTACTGCTTGAGCTACACCACCAGTAAGAAGGAAATTCTATAGTTATAGGCTTTTTTTTTTTTCTGATGGAACTGGGGTTTGAACTCAGGGCCTACACCTTGAGCCACTCCACCAGCCCTTTTTTGTGATGAGTTTTTCCAAGCTAGGGTCTTGCCCAAGCTGGCTTTGAACCGCCATACTCGTGATCTCTGCCTCCTGAGTAGCTATGATTCTGTGTGAAAGTTTTTATATAAAGAAGTTTGATAGAAAGAAAGCTGCGCTCCATGATGCTTGTGGCATAGTACTACTCAAAGATTTCTCAAGCAGTCTTTCTCATTGGTACTATAATCCAAGTTATGAATATTAGTAGACGTTGTACTTTGGCAGTGTTTGCGAAAGTGACTTCCCGGCACCCTTTGATTTGCCTGTCTGTGTTGGCTTCTCACCTGCTTTACATAAGTCTTGAATACTTTAGTAGTCAAGAAGCTTTAAGTTCCATTTGATGAAACTCATCTCAAACTGACTTATGCAAAAAAGATAGATTTATTGACTGAAAAATCCAGGTCTGGCTAGAGAGGCCTTGAGCAGTACATTAAAACCTACGTGACCACTGATTTTCTCTCCATGGGTTTAGCTCTCAAGCAGGCTTTTTTTTTTGTCTGGCCTCAAATAAGTTTTTGCTTACATATTGCAGTGTTGAAGGCCAGAGAAAAAGAACAGTTTCTCCTAATCATTCCAGCAGAAGTGCTGTGATGATTACAGCATATCAGCCCTATTCCTGAGTCATTATTAACCTTGTCTAAGAGTAATTGTGAAATAGACCTGTGTGCACATATACAAGCTCATTCCACCCATTACTCCAAGATACAACCAGTATTACTTGAGCTGTATAGACTAAAAGTGACCAGACACAGCAGCCAGAGGAAAATCAGGGTACCAGTACCAAAAGAAGGGTGAATGCTTCTTATAGTTCAACACTTTGATATTAGGTTCAAAACTGTTACAGCATCAGGGTAAGTTGAATCTTTTATGGAAATTAGAAAAATTGTTCTTTTCTATTTCATTAGATTTCATTTGATGCTAATAGTGCAACTTACTAGAATTTGGCCTTTTTAATAATCTCTTACTTATTAGATTTTTTAAAATAGTAATTTTAATTCTTACTCATATAACAAGGCAAACAACACTGAATATAATATAAAGGTATTATTACTTCCCTCCCCAAATTCAGTCCCTCACCTCTCCTATGGAGAGTAACAGTCTGTTGTGTATTTTTCCATTTTTGTTGAGCTTGCACTATTGTATGCATGTACATGGTATGCTGTATTTCCTTCCATTTTCCTGTCAGTCACCAATGTTGGGATAATGTTTTGGGTAGCCTATTCTATATACAGGATATAGCTTTTAAAAAACTTTTAAAATAAGGAAATGTGCACATTCACATTTAATATGTGTGTTTCAAATGTTTCTTGCCATGTGATGTTTATAATTCTATTTCCTGTGCTTTCTTTGATTCTCCTTTTGTATTTCTTCCTACCTTTTATGCAGCAGTTTGCATTTTTGTTCTGATTTTTTTCTTCCAAAAGTTTAGCAGTTGTCATTGAGTATTTAGCTATGTATGTACAGATTCTAGAATCAAGATCATTTTTCCTTATAATGTCTTTGTTGCTCTGCTCATTTACTTACATAATTTTCTTTAATAAAATGAAAGTTTTAAGGCTATGAAATTTTCTGAGCACGCTTTATCCATTTGGCATTGGATTTTGTATTTTATTAATGAAATAATATTTCATTATTTTTATATTCTGATTTTCAGTTATCAGTCATTGCTCTGTTCTGTTTCTGTTTGGGAATTTATTGAAATTCACTATTACTTTTCGCAAATGCTTCATGAATATTTAAATAAAAGGTGTTTTCTGTCTGGTTACAGCACTTGGCATATGTTTGTTCCAGCACCTTGGAAAAATACTTCCATTCCCTGTGGTTTTACTTACAGGGGTATGTTCACTACCGATGTGTATCTATCACACCATTATTCTTTTTGTATTTTTTGCCTTATAGAAATACAACCTTACGAAGTTTTACACATAAATGTTTTTGAGTGAAATCTGTAATCTTAATCAGTTTATTGCACTCATTTTTCAATTTAATGCCTTTTATCTTGAATGAATTCCATGTTTAAATGAATTTAATGGTCACTGTCAGCCTTTTCATTCCTTGACTTCTCTTGTTTGCAAGTTTTATATTGCAGTTATCTTCTGAAGGCTAGATTGATTTTTCAAGTTTTTATTAAGGACTTACAGGTGAATTATGCAGACATGCCTTTTTTTCTCTCTACGTATAGTTTATTTCCTTTGCAAACAACATTTTTGATTCATTGGTTTATATTTTAATACTTTATTTCCCAGAAAAATTGCAATCTCTCAATGGAGCAACCATGGTCTTATTTTATTTGGTTCTCGTTGTTAACATAGTGCCTGGCACACCAATAATAATCAGTGACTTTACATAGAATATTTGGAATCTGTGCACTATTAGAATATATTCCATTTCCTTGTTGAATGTATCTCAGGCCTCTGTCCCAGTGCAGAAATCAGATGAAAGGAAGGCTATCAAATGAAAGTCGGTGAACAAAGTTATGTTTTGTGTCTTAGGAAACAGTGACATTCAAGGATGTGGCCATGGACTTTACACCAGAGGAGTGGGGGAAGCTGGATCCTACACAAAGGGACGTGATGCTGGAGAACTACAGAAACCTGGTCTCACTTTGTAAGAACGGATTCTGTTCTCCTTGTGACTCTGAAACCTGCTTATGGGGAAATGATTACTTCGTTAAAAATGGAATAACTTAAAAAACCTTCATTTTTGCATTCAGAAGTCATAAAGTATTAGTTCTTTTGAGCTAGAGAAAAATCTTTTCTTGCGTTTTGTTCTGTTTTGTTTAATAATGGGTCCTTGCATATGCTAAGCATGTATTCTACCACCAACCTACATCCTCACCTTAGAAAGAATTGTGTTTTGTTGTTGCTTGGGTTTTAGGGTTTTTAAATTAATTTATTATTATTATTTTGGCAGTACTAGGGTTTGAACTTAACCTCATGCTTGCTAGGCAAGTGCTCTACCACTTGATCCATAACCCCAACCTGAGAAAAATCTGTTTCTGCTCTAGGTTCTTGGTAAAATGTATGCTTGTTGTATATGAAGACTCAAGTGACAACTTAATTCATACTAGGTTAAAGGAAAAAATATATATCTTGACTCAAAATCACATATATCATCAGGAACTTCATCCATATATTAATTTTTAGTCAATTGGTATGACTTTGCTCTGTATTAGCTTTATTCTTAGAATCTTCCTATGTAACAGAGGTGGCCATTGGCAGCTGTAGGATCACATTATTCTCCCAGTTAGATAGCTAAGCAAGAGAGAAGGAAGGGAGAGAGGGAGGGAGAGAGGTGGGGGGGAGGGAAGGAAGGAAGGAGGGAGGGAGGGAAGGAAGGAGGGAAAGGGGAGGAGGGAAGGGAGGGGGAAGAAGGGAAGGGAGGAAAGGATGGAAGGAAGGAAGGAAGGGAAAGAGGAAAGAAAGAAATGCTTCTATCCTAGGAGTTTAACAAATAGGGTCACATGCCCACCAGAGAAACAATCATAGAGCCAGAGAGGACTGTGGTAGCCCTTCCCAAACCTCATGTAACAAATTCCTGAAGAAAGTGACTTTTAGTAATTGAAACAGAAGGAAAGGAAAAATGTCAGAAGGCAAAAACTAGTAACCATAGTCACAATTTTTATTAGCATAAATTAACTGTACAAAGGGGTTTAGTTTTGAAATTTCCATACGTACATATGGACATTTCCATATATACATATGCATACTTTGATCAAATTCAACCTGTGTATTGCTCTTTCTTAATGCCCTTCCTTCCTAAACAGTATTTAGGGATTTCATTGTGGTATTTCCATACATATATAATGTATAGCACAATTTTGTAGTGCCACTGAAATTTCATTTTTTTTCATCTTCTTCCCTGAAGTAAGGACTAATCTGTGACTAACTGCAATATCACGCTAAAATTTCCTCACACACTAAGGAAATTAAAAACATTCTCTTCCTTTTCGACAGACAAAAATCATTCGTCTTTACAAACCCAGTTTTACTGTGTATCGGGCATAAACTTTTGCTCCAAGTGTTTTAAGCTGCATTTAGGGTCCATCTTTTCTCACTCAGATCTTCCTGCGATAGCTCGACTTTGTAGCTCAAGAGTTGGAACTATACTCCAGTATAGATCTTTGTATCCATCATAAATAGCGAAATTTCTTTTTTAAAAAATTTTCCTTCCTTTTTCTTTTTAACAAATAGGGCTTCCTGTTTCCAAATCTGAGAACTACAATTTGGATAATGGAAAAGAACCACTGAAGCTTGAGAGAATAGTGCCCAAATGCAGCTATTCAGGTGAGTCAGATAGATGGGAATCTTCAGAAATGTCCAGCAGGACAGTGAATAAATGGCACTTTTCAGTGCCTAAGAAAGTAGATTAGAAGTGCCTATGTGCTTTTATTGTTTTTTTAAATATTTTAAATTTTAAAGCATTTTAAATGCGTAAATCCAGAAAATAAAATAACATGTATCCATCACCACAATTAAACACGTCTAATATTTTACTTCATTTGACGCTTCCTTTTTTTTTGCAATATAAAATACATAAAGGTGTCATAACTTTTCTATGAATCTTCACAAATCAAACACATTCATGTAGCTAGTGTCCATATCAAGATAACAACTTTAATAGCACCCCTACAAGCACCCTTGTACCCTCGTCTTTCAGTCACTTCCTTCAAGGGTAACCTTGTCCTAACTTGTTTAGTTTTGACTCTTCTTGAACTTCATGTGAATGGAATCATACTGTATAGACTCTGTGTCTGACTTCCCTCCTTGAACACTAATTGGAAGATATATCCACGTTATGACTCATTGTTACTGTTGATTCTCATCCTACAGCTTTCATTGTGTCACATTCTAGTTTATCCATTATCCTGAAGATGGGCATAGGGATTGTTTCTAGTTTTTGGTTCTGTGAAAAGTGTTGTTATGTACATTCTTTTTCGTCTGTCTTTTCATAAACACATATATGCATTTCTGTTGAATATATACATACAGGTAAAATTGACTCATAGGTTAGGTGCATGCTCATTTTTTGGTAGAGGTTTCCAAAGTAATCATACCAGTTATATTGTCATCAGCAGAGTATGTGACTTCTAACTGTAGCACATGCTTGTCAACACTTAATGTTGTCTTGTCTTTATTTTTGTCATTCTTATAGGTTTGTGATAGCTTATATTTTTAAAGAAATAAAAAATATTATTAAAGTTGTTTCATTATTTCCTTCTCTAGAAGTAAACACTGTGTATTGAAGTTAAGTTTGAATCATTGTACTATTTCCATGTGCATATGCATATATTTATATATATATAAGTACATAAAATATTATGTATATTTTGATTAATCTATTTTTTAACTTCACATTGTATTTTATTAATTTTTTGTTAATATGTAATTAATGTTTATTACATTAGTTCATAGTTTCTGAACTAATATGCAGTAAGTTCATTGTGTGAATAAACTGCAGTTCATTCAATCCTTTCTCTATGTTAGGTTATTAGAGATGGTATCAATATTTTGCTACCTCAGATGGTGTTGCAGTGAAAAGCTTTATGCATATATTACTTCATGTATTTAAGTCACAGGAGATTTTTAAATCAGGAGCATATTATAAAAAACATTGTCAGGAAGATTAAATTGGTAATGGAATGCATATCTGAACTTGAGTAGGGTCGAAAGTCTAGAAACTCAGAAACCAAAACTGTACTCTATTCTAAGATGATAACTGCATGGATATTTATTGTCGCTATAGGTGTTCTGTAAAGTGTGGCTTCTCCTATCCTGATCTTGAGTACTCATTGCGTACTGGTCCACTGGTACATTGCTTCATCTGCATTTCTTCTTCTATATTTCTGGTTCTTTTCCTCTCTTCTGATTCTCCTGATTAGGTGTACTCATTTTCTCTGCATACGCTGAGCATTTGTCTCCTTCCATTTGCTGTTTTTTTGCAAATCATCTAGTGAAAGAGTCAATACACTTATTCCATAAAGGCATATTTTTCACCTACAGTAATTCTTGCCTATTACAGAACTGGCTTTTGTTGAGCACAGAAAACAAAGAAAATTTGCATTTCCAATGTATTTCAGACATGGAGAGTAGACCTGAGAGCAAGAATTCAACTTCAGAGCAAGATTTTTCCAAAGAAGGTTGCAGCAAAAGACATCAGGTTGCAGCAATAGACAGACTGACAAGGAATGGTGTCTATGATTCTAACTTGGAAACAGCCCTTGAATGTGAAAATTGGCTAGAGAGTCAGCAAGGAAATCGGGAGAGGCACTTGAGAGAAATGTTCACCCACAATAATGAGCTCCCCAAGGAAAGAGATCATGAACATGATGTATTTTGGAAAAATTTCAATCAGAAATCTCTCCTTTTGACTCAAGACAGAGTTTCCAAAGGGTCCTATGCTTTTCATACACTTGGAAAAAGACTGAAGCAGAAATCAGACTTAATGAAAAAGCAGAGAACCTATAAAGAAAAAAAACCTCATAAATGTGATGATTGTGGCGAACTCTTCACTTACCATTCAGTGCTTATTCGACACCAGAGAGTACATACTGGAGAGAAACCTTATACCTGCAATGAATGTGGGAAGTCTTTTAGCCACAGAGCCAATTTAACTAAACACCAGAGAACTCATACTAGAATTCTCTTTGAGTGTAGTGAATGCAAGAAAACCTTCACAGAAAGCTCATCCCTTGCAATACATCAGAGAATTCACATTGGAGAAAGACCTTACGAATGCAAAGAATGTGGGAAAGGTTTTAACCGAAGCACACATCTTGCACAGCATCAATTGATTCATATTGGAGTGAAGCCTTATGAATGTAATGAATGTGATAAAGCTTTCATTCATTCATCAGCACTCATTAAACATCAAAGGACTCATACTGGAGAGAAGCCCTATAAATGTCAAGAGTGTGGGAAAGCTTTTAGCCATTGCTCATCCCTTACTAAGCATCAGAGAGTTCATACTGGAGAAAAGCCATATGAGTGTAGTGAATGTGGGAAAACATTTAGTCAGAGCACACACCTTGTTCAGCATCAGAGAATCCATACTGGAGAAAAACCATATGAATGTAATCAATGTGGGAAAACCTTTAGCCGGAGCTCAAATTTTGCTAAACATCAAAGAATTCATATTGGAAAGAAACCTTATAAATGTAGTGAATGTGGAAAAGCCTTCATTCATTCATCAGCTCTTATTCAACACCAGAGAACTCATACTGGAGAGAAACCCTTTAGATGTAATGAATGTGGAAAAAGTTTTAAGTGCAGTTCATCTCTCATCAGACATCAAAGAATTCACACTGGAGAACAACCCTGAAAAATTATTGAATGTGACAAACTGTAAGTTGGATTTATCACTGTGTCAAATACTTGAATGTTTAGGTGGAAATCCATAATATCCTGAGGAGCATTTCTACATGCATCTAATCTCACTTGCTTAATAGATAATTTTGAACCATAGAAAGAATGTTCCTAGTGCATTGATATGGTAATTATGAAGTCTTCTAGCCAGATATCTCAAAAGTTTTATCCTCAACCTTCTAAATACCCACTTGTGGAAATTTAAGAAATTTCTGTGAGAGGATGCTTGTATAGGTATTGTGAAATCCATTTCCTCCCATTCTTGGTCATAACACAGCCTTGATGCAGCCTCCACTTTGTAAGGAAATTCTTAGTTTGAAGGCTAGGCTGAGTGCTCATGTCCTTATCATCAGAAAGACACAGAGTTGTTACTCTGAGTCCAGGTAGACACCTATATCATTTCCCTAGGAAATATCATTTCCCGTGTTAGCCATAGAAACTCTAATCACCAAAGGAGTTGAAAGTTGCTTTGGATCCACCCACTCACAAAGGCTGCTGTCTGATTCGATAAGCAAACCTAAAATGTTACAGCATATTGTAGGTTATGTTCACATGGATTGGGTTGGTCATAGATTTAGATAGTTGTTATCATCCTGTTGTGGAGATTCATTTTCCAGTTCCCTAATATTTACCCTGAAGTACAGGATGGGTCAAAATTTTAGCAATAGTTATTGGTCAGGTCCTTTTTTTATCTTGTGCCTGACATTAACTGAATCCTTGATTTTTCTACAATGAAACTATCAGGAAAACTTCATTTCTCTTTGTCACATTTAGAACAAGCCCTAAGGATATTGAGAGTCTGAAAAGTTAATAGGTTCAATGTGTTATTTTATTTAGCGTCACATTTCAGAAGAGAACTGAAGCAACTGTGGGGACATACCTTCTTGTCGTGTATGGAAAAAGCTCACAGGATAGTCCTCAAGTGATTCACTTGGGGATAAGCAGTGTCCCTTCTTGAAGAAAAAGTTGCCACTTCTCTGGGCTTCATGTTTACCTACTTTTGTTTTGGCTCTTTTTCTCCATATGTCCGGTTGGTCTTTATCCCAGACTTCTTAAGAAAGCAGTCAAGGCATGAAATCCCAGTGATCTGTTAACTTAAATTACATGGGTGACCAAAGATCAGTGGTGAGATTGGAAACACAAAAGCAGGAGTTCAAATAAATTTTTAGAAAAATACTATACAAATGTTAATTTTTTTATTCTCTTCCATATTACATGTTATGAAAAGAAAGCTATACAAAATGATAGAAAAAAAAGAAAAAATAATTATCACAGACTTCTTCCTTTTTGTCTCCTGATTCTTATCCTTTAGTTTATATTCTTGGCTCCTCTACATTATCCTTGTTACTTCTTATTACCACTTCTAATTGCCACTTAGTAGATCTTAACTTCTATGATTGAAGACAATTAGGGGAATAGAGTTTTTAAGAAGTTGTCGTAGGGAAGAGTGCTGTCATAAAGAGTGATTGGAGTAAGTTCAACAGAGATGGAAATAACAGAAATTGAGGGTGAAAGGATTCCTCACAGAGATTTTAGAATGAATAGAGAAACACATTGAAGAGGGTCAAGGTGGGTGGAAAGACTTAGGGGTAGAGGTCAAGTTAGGAGAATGACTGACTTGAGACAATATAGGAAAAAGAACTCAACTCTTTGATCACCTCAATCTGTATTATTAGTGGATGAGAGCAGGTACTGACAAACTAGGGCCTGAAATCGTAGACCAAGTTTGGCCCACTGCCTGGTTTTATAAATTTTATTGGATCTCAGCCACCTGGTTATTTACATGCTGCTTTTGTATACAACAGCAAAATTGAGTAGCTGCTGCAGAGATTGTGTCTTTGGGCTGCTATAACCAAATTTCATAAACTGAGTAGCTTTTAAACAACAGAAATTTATGCCTTACAGCTTAAGTCCATGGTGAGGGCAGCAGTAGGTCTGGTGAAGGGTTCATAGAAGCTACCTTCTCTCTGTGTCCTCACATGGTAGAAGGCAAGAACACTGGTCTCTTCAGCCTCTTCTAAACACACTGATCCCTTTCATAGGGCCCCTAATCACCTCCCAAATACCCCATTTCTTAACACCAAAGCTTTGCTTCCTAGGTTGCCTAATAAGAGTTTTGGAGGGATACATTTCTTTCATAGCAGATTGTATGTCCCAAAAAGCCTAAAATATTTGCTACTTAATACTTTACAGAATATGTTTGCTGGCCCCTGTGCTAAAGCATCCTTGTCAAGAGGAGGGTTGAGGGATTAAACTATTCAGAAATCAGGTGGAATAGAAAAGTTGTAATGATGGTGACCTTGCTCGTCAGTAGAGACTAAAGCCATTATAGTTACCACGTAAGGCAGACTATTAAGCAGAGTATGGCTGATGAACATCCCCAGTGAGACTACCCATGAGCCCAGTAGTACTCTCACTCTAGTCTATTTTTAAAGTTACAGAATATTGAGAGAAGTGAGCTGGGGAGAATAAGAGATGAGAAATGATGCATCAAAATAGTCTTAACCTTAAGATTTTACTATATATTGTCAAGAAAATTTTGCAATTATCAAAACTTCTTTTTATTATTCCAAAAGCTTGAATGAAAAGAAACTCATTTGGAGGCCAAAATTCAACTAATGAAATAAGACCAGCATGAGCTTTTCAAAGTTGAGTTTGCCTTTCCTACTTAGCAATTATGTGACCCACTACTTACTCTAAATTTTCTGTGAAATGACAACGCATATAAAGGAGCTTAGCATACAATAAGTAATTATATAGACAGCCTTGATCATGTGTGCTCACAAGTGTGTGCTTTCTCTATATATATGTAAACATGTAATAATATTACATATTTTTAAATATATATACTTTTAATGAAGTGGTTAGGCATTGGACAGTACAGGTTCCTTAAGAATGAGTGATTTTTCTCCCAACTTTTGGTTACTGATTTAGAGCTATGACCATCATAGAGAAGGAGCTTCACTTTCTGTGTTTGCTTCTGTCTGGTGCTGTTCCTTATAGTTTCCTTAAGACTTTGTGGAACCTGCTGGTTTTCCACGTGAATATCACTTAAGCAGGAGCTAGCAGATGATTCCAGATATTCTAATTTGCAAGCTAATTGCAGTTTTATGTTAAGGGACTTGCTGTCAGCTAGTTTTACTGGGAACTCTGGTCCTTTGCACTTCAGTATTTGTCCTTTTTATGCCTGATGTTCAACATGACTACCTGTTTGTATCCCAACATGAATCTTACAAGTTTTAATGATATGCGTTTTAAATGTTTTTGGTACCTTATAAATTGAAATTGACTGTTCTTATGGCCATCTATCTGTCAATAAAGATGTTTTTTGTAAATGGATTACAAAATTTACAATTTTTGTAAATTGTTTTAAATTCTCATTTGAGAATATTTTAAGATGTAAAGAAAGACCAGGCTTAAAACATCTCCATATCATTCAGAACACCAATCAGATTTTTAATTGTTGATCTGGGCTTCACAGCTTCTGAGGACATGGGGTGGAGAATTTCCTCAGTAGCCCATGTATCTGTGAGAGATTATGAAATAGAGGAAGGTTGCTTCTACAAAACAGTGCTGAGTCCTCAGGCCAAGTACAGCCCCATTCACTTATAAGGGGTGGCAGGGAGTGGGGAGTTTGTATAAAAAGCACAGTTAAAACTAGGCAAAATATGGTTTAAAATGATTTAGTGTAATTTTTGAATCACATCTGGTTTGGGAGAAATGAATGTAACGTCACCTAAAAATGATTGTATAAGAATACCAAACATTCAAATTCATTGGCAATTAACTAGTTCAGTTATCTAATGAAAGTCAGACGTGGGTTTTATTTTCTTAAAATGTATTTTCACTTTGTTTCCTTTTTGTTTGTTATTGTTTTGTTGTTTGGTTGGTTTTTTGTCCATTTTTTGAGCCAGGGTTTTGCTATGTAGCCCAGCCTGGCCTAAAACTACATCACCCTTCCAAGTGCTGAGATTACAGGTATACAACACCCTGCCTGGCTCCCTCCTTTTTTTCTTTTTTGTACCAAAAATGATTTACATTGGAAGCTTTCTCCCTTTCCCTTTCTTACCTAATTCTTTCAAGGACTGGACTCAGCCCCTCACCCTCACTGTTAGTTTTCTTAGCAAGGGAGGAAGCTGTACTTCCAATTAATGCTTTCAAAAATATACTTTCACCGAATTGCTGTTTACATTTTTCACAATATAACCTCTTCTTAACCTCTATTCATCCCTAAACCTGATAATCTGCCCTTAGATTGTGCTGACTGTATATAAAATGTGCATATCTCATTTCCCTCTCATCCTTACCATTTCACCCACAAATATGTTATTGTCATATCAGGAAAAGTTCATATACCTGGGGAGTCTAAAAGGTGAAACCAGAGATTCAGGCGTTGCCAAATCAAAGACTATTACCTCTACCTCTGTTCCTCTGGGTTGGTTTTATTTTCCTCAGTCTCCTCATTTGGAAACAACTATGTCCACTGGCAATTCTGAATTGTTACAGCTCTTCACATTCATAATCTGAAGGACAGTACCTCTTTTCAAGTAGCTCCAGCAAAATCTCCAAGGCTGCTTCCTAACTTTGCTTGAGCCTTGCTAATACTGAGCCACTTAGCACCTCACAAAAGGAGTTCTCTCATTAACCAGGCCTGGGTCCATGTAAAACTTCCAAGCCTTGGGAGAGTGGAGTGCACCCCACTCAACACAACTTGTTGTACCATGGGGCAAAGGTGCTTCCCTAAAACAGACTCAAATTTGCTGGGCAGATGAAACAAACACTGCAATTGGAAAACAGGCTTCAACGCAGGTAAGTCTATTCTGTCTTCTCTTCCATCCATTTTCTCAAAACAAGCTGTTTTCCAAAGATCAACAGTGACACTCTGACAGGAGGCCAAAACTTAGGAAAATACATCAACTTTTGTGATAATTTTCTGTTGTTTGATGCCAGGCTGTGGAGAGGGAGGGAGGGAGAGAGAAAGTAAGGGAGGGAGAAAAAAGAGAAAGAGAAACATATACTTCTTAAAGTGTATTTATGCTACCTGTCCACTACAGGTTGGCAGGGAGTCTTTGCTTATCAATAGTTATTTAGGGACAAAGATAATACTGAAAACCACTTACATGTGGTTACTTTGGCCATACCAAAAACAATTCTAGGTATGGTTGACTCAATTTCCAGTCTTGGGACCCATGTTGTAGTGACTTAAGCCTGCCTGATGCTGGGTTTGATACACAACATCACCAAAAAAAAAAAAAATTGCAAGGAAGATTCTGATGGTTCTGGAGCACATATATCCTTTAAACAACCACTGTGGCCAAGGGAAATGTTCTAATGTGGATGAGGCAGGGTGGAATTGAACCTCATCCAAACTATGTATAGTGGGTTTCCGACAAAGATTCTGTCACCAGAAGGAGAGAAGGGCAAGTGTGCTGAGGTGGAAAAAAATTATCGCAGGATCAATGCCTACCCACTTCAGGGACACTTTCCTTCTAAGACAATACAAAGTGAGGACATCTGTCTCTATAGGCCTGAAAGGCAGTAGAGAGCAAAATTAGTAAGTTAGTGTGAGCATGAGCACTCTGCTTGTTCACCTCTCGTCAGGAGTTAGTTTCTCTCAGATTTATGGAACCCAAAAACATTGAAGAACTTCACTTTTTATTCCCAGGGATCTTATTTCAATGAGTTATGTGCACCTGATCATAAGCATTAAAACAAAGATCTTTCATACCTCTGCAGAAAGACAGACTTAAGTGGATTCTAATCCTTGTAGTAGTTCTTAGGTCCTTAATTCCATCTCCTTTTGCATTTGGAGCCATGTGCTCCAAAGTGACCCAATATAAGTCTCATTCTGTCATCTGTGAAAGTAGTAGAATTTCCTGAGGTTTATCAGTAGGGAGTTTGGCCATATCTACTCCCACATGCCCTAGAGTAGCAGGAGTACTAAGAAGAAATAAAAATGTGGGTGCAAAGGCAGCATGGCAATATGTGATATCCCAACTCCACCCACAGAGCGACATCAAAGATCTCCCAGCTTTACCCCAACACTTAGCTCGCTCATGAAGTTAGTAAATCACTGCAGGGTTCCTAGCCATCTTGGCCTTCCTAGGACACCTATTCTCTATGCTCACCTGTGTGACCTATTCACTGTGAAAGATAAGGTTCTTATCGTAGTCACTCAGGGACCCAACTGATGAAACAAGCTGCCATCTCACATACTGCTTTTGTCACGCTGGAAGGAAAGCAGGGAGCCAGAGCATCTTGCACTGACACACTCCATTTCCATTCAATTTTATTCTTGAAGACTGGTTGCATCCCCCAGAGAGCGCCAGGGAATACCATCTCCTTTACAGCTGTATGCTGAAGAGCATACTAAGAGCACTCTAAACACATCATAGGATTAGTAGAAGATTAGTAGATAACAGCATTCTTCCCTTAAAAACAACTTTTTTTTTGAAGTACTGGAGATTGAACCCAGGGACTTGCACATGCTAGGCAAGCACACTACATCTTTAATTGATGTATTAATATTGTACATATGTATAATATATATCTATTAGGGTGATGTGTGATAGTTCAACACATGAAATGTGTAATGACCAAACCAAGGCAATTAGTTTTTCTATCTCCTCATACCTTTATCATTTCTTTGTATTGGGAAACTTCAAGCTCCTCTCTTCTAGCATATCCTTGCCTCTTTAAAACCATCCTCAGGTAAGTCAACTCCCTGTATAGCTATCCTTATCTCAACTAGCAAAAACCTTGTTCCTTCCTATTATTGCTTACGCTCTCTCTTCAACAAAATTAGAGATAAGGGCAAAATAGTTTCTGCTGGGTATTGAGGGGGCGGGGGGGGTGAGGGAGGGGTAGGGGTGGGCGGTAAGGGAGGGGGTGGGGGGAAGGGGGGGAGAAATGACCCAAACATTGTATGCACATAATGAATTTAAAAAAAAAAATCCTCAGCCAGGCATGGAGATATATGCTTATAATCCCAACACTTGGGTGGTTGAGGCAGGAGGATTGCAAGTTCCAGGCTAACCTGGGCTATATAGTAAGACCCTATCAAAAAAAAAAAAAAGCAATATAACTATCCAGATCAATTCTCACAAACACCTCTGACGTAAATTCCTCTGACTACACCACTTCTTCCAACCTGTTACCATCTACTGACTTCTTGCTCATTTCTCCATATCCATTAAGATATTTTTGGCATCCCTGCTGAGTAATGTCAGAAACCAGAGGTATGACATCCTGAACTTATATGAATTCAGTTTTAATGATTGTGTTCATTCCAGCAACTTGCTCTTGTGGCCATTCCTTGGCAACAAATCAGAATGGTTCAGCAAATACTTTTGAGCAACTACTGTTTGCTAGGCACTATATGCTAAATGCCAGAGATAAAAATGATGAATAATACATAATCTCTGCTCTTAGCTAAGAGATGTAGCTAATTAAATACCCAATTATAATCTTGTATGAAAAGTGCAGTATGCATTGGAAACCAGAAACACACAGGGAATACCTTGCCTAGCTTTTCGTGGTCAGAGAATGTGGCATCTTCAAAAGCCAGGAAAATGCCATCACAGATGAATCCCAAGGAGAAAGAATTTCACATTAAAAAGGCGAAGTGGCAGGACCATTACATTCTAAGCAGAGGAACAAAGATGTGAGTTGTAGGATGCTGTATTTCAGAAACTATGTATGGTTTCCTGTGCCTAGTGCTTAAAGGACAAGAGTAGCAGAGTGAGGATTGAGGATGTAGTATTTACAGTAGCCGGATCTTGAAGGGCATTGCAAGTTAATTTGAGGCTGATCTTGAAGGAGACGGAAGGAGAGAGGATTTATTATTTTTAGTGAGTAGCATGATCAAATTCTCCTTTATGAAAGATCACCTTGGCTGCACCATGGAGAATGGACTGCAGAGGAGCATCTTTAATGGTCAGGAGCAAGTTAGGAAGTTGTACAGCAGGAATGATGGAAGATACAGTGCTGCTCCAAGTGAGGCTTTGTGCTCTCTCTCCATTCTTCCATTGCTTGCCTGGGTTTCAAGGTTGTAATTAAGAGCGCTTAACGATCCAGGTACACAAACATAGGCAGCTTGTAGAAATTATTTTGTTTTTATGTTCACGTCCTTATGACAAAAACAGTTTTCATAACTCAATACAGAAAACGAGGCACTTGATTTTGCCATTTTCTTAAGCCTGGGGGAAGGATGTGTTGAAGTATAATTTTTAAAAGGTTAAAAGCATGATTCTCCCAAATATATAGTAAGTCTATGTCAGAAATTTATTGGACTCATTAATGACAGAACT